ACAAGTGCGACTTTAATAGATCCTATTTTTATTAATACGCCTAGTAATGTAACCAAACAAGGTACCATTAATATTGATCTATTCAGTAATCATCAGATGACATTTTGTGAACTCACTACTTGTAAAAAAATATCTCATGATAAGTTTGTCACGTATAGAGATTTTAGTAATTTTAATACCAATTTATTCAATCATGATTTATTAAATATCCCATGGCACAGTATCTTACAATTAAACTCAATAGACCAAAAAATTGAATTTTTGTCTGATAATATTACTTGCTTATTCGATTTACACAGTCCTTTTCGCACGGCCCGTGTCAAAAGGTCACGTGCTCCCTGGTTAACAGCCAATCTGAAATTAATATTTAAAGAACGAGATAAAGCATTGCGAAAGTATAAACAAAATCGAACACTTTATAGTTGGAATGAGTACAAACATTTAAGAAATTACGCATTATCTTGTTTAAGAAACGAAAAACGTGCTTATATGGAACAGTTACATCAAAGCAAAAATATTAAATCTTTTTACAAAACTCTCAATGATATGAAAATTCATTCTTCAGGCACATCAGATTTACCTTCTCAATTTCAAGATCCATACAAAATCAATGATTACTTTACTTCTATATTTCAAAATAGTGATGAGCAATGTGCTGAAAATATTCTATTTTATAGAACACAAAAATTTCTGCCAAACAAAACCTTTCAATTAAAACTAGTTAACCTAGATGACCTAAGCAAAGCTATTCTTAGAATAAAATCCAATTCTTGCGGTACAGATGGTATTACACCACAAATGTTAAGACTTTGTTTTCCTATTATTGGCATTTATTTCTTACATATCATAAACCGTTGTCTAGAATTGGGATATTTTCCTGATTATTGGAAAACATCGTTAGTAATACCTCTACCTAAATGCCCAAATCCATCTTCCTATAATGAACTGAGACCTATCAGTTTAATTTCTTTATTATCCAAAATTCTATAAAGAATTGTTTACATACAGATCAGCGATTACTTATCTGAAAATAATATTATACCTATACATCAGTCCGGATTTCAAAAAAACCGTAGCACTACTTCTGCTTTGGCCTGTTTGTCAGACAACATCCTATCTTCCATTGATAAACAGAATATGTGTTTTTTGGTCTTGTTAGACTTTTCAAAAGCATTTGATACCATTAACCATCGCCTGTTGGTATCAAAATGCATCTATTACGGTTTTGACGATATATCTTCGAATTTTATTAAATCATATCTAAGGAATCGCACTCAGAAAGTCATAATAAATAGTCAAATTTCAACACCTAATCAAATAGTCTCAGGTGTACCGCAAGGCTCGGTATTAGGACCTTTACTTTTTCTTTTATACATATCTGATCTTGCAGAAATAATTAGGCATTCACATGCTCAATTCTTTGCAGATGATACTCAAATATACCGAGAATTTAAAATATCAGAGTCCGAACTTGCAGCGAATCTAGTTACCGAAGATCTGGAATCCATTTCAAAATATTCACGTGCACACAATTTGCGCTTAAATCCTGAGAAGTCTAAGGTGTTAATATTTGGTAATAAACTAAATAGAGAAAATATCAAAGCTAACATGACCATTAAAATTAATGATGACATAATACCCTTTGTTTCGTCTGCAAAAAATTTAGGGATTTATTTCGATGAGGAATTCAGGTTTCATCCACATATACAACATGTACTACAACAGTGTTATTTACGGTTACGATTACTTTTCGCTAGTAAACATATCCTAACTAAAAATATGAAAATTAACCTAAGTGAAAGCTTAATAATATCTAAATTATTATATGGGCTTATTGTTTATTATCCTTGCCTTACAAGTGAAAACAAACGGCGTTTACAAATAATTCAGAATACATGTTGCCGCCTAATTTATAATTTGAGGAAATATGATCATATATCCGTCCCGTTTACTAGTTTAAAATGGCTTAATGTTCAACACTTATTTGACTACAGTATTTTAACATTTGTACAGAAAATAATTATATCCTCAAAACCAGTATATTTAATAGATAAACTAATACCCAGAGCAACTATGCATCAGCATGCTATTAGGGATCAATCACAACTTAATATGCCACAATTTCGCTTGACTACATACACCAGATCTTTTTCATATAATGCGATTAAACTATATAACGGCCTAGATCTTAACATAAAAAATATCAAATCAACAAGTATTTTTAAACAAAATGTCAAAAGTTTGCTCTTATCCCAGCAGTAAAATGTGAAGATCTAGTTTGCCTTATAGGAATTATTATTTTGTATGTAATGTAAATAATATATAATGTAAATATAAAATTTAAATGTAATTACTAGTGTAAAAGTTCGATATAATTAAGTTTTTTGCTTAAGATTATGTATAAAGTTGTTTGGGTCAAATATTATTATTATTCTATATTTAACATTCCTTAATATTTTGTATAAAGTTGTTTGCGTCAAATATTATTATTATTATAATTATTCTTTAATTAACATATCAATACTTTAGATTTAGGTTTAGGGTTAGGTGTAAGAATAGCCAAGCTAAATCTCGCCCTATGTACTTTTGTGCAATAAAGACGTTTATTATTATTATTATTATTATGTGTGTATGTGTGTATGTGTGTATGTGTGTATGTGTGTATGTGTGTATGTGTGTATGTGTGTATGTGTGTATGTGTGTATGTGTGTATGTGTGTATGTGTGTATGTGTGTATGTGTGTATGTGTGTATGTGTGTATGTGTGTATGTGTGTATGTGTGTATGTGTGTATGTGTGTATGTGTGTATGTGTGTATGTGTGTATGTGTGTATGTGTGTATGTGTGTATGTGTGTATGTGTGTATGTGTGTATGTGTGTATGTGTGTATGTGTGTATGTGTGTATGTGTGTATGTGTGTATGTGTGTATGTGTGTATGTGTGTATGTGTGTATGTGTGTATGTGTGTATGTGTGTATGTGTGTATGTGTGTATGTGTGTATGTGTGTATGTGTGTATGTGTGTATGTGTGTATGTGTGTATGTGTGTATGTGTGTATGTGTGTATGTGTGTATGTGTGTATGTGTGTATGTGTGTATGTGTGTATGTGTGTATGTGTGTATGTGTGTATGTGTGTATGTGTGATGTGTGATGTGTGATGTGTGATGTGTGTATGTGTGTATGTGTGTATGTGTGTATGTGTGTATGTGTGTATGTGTGTATGTGTGTATGTGTGTATGTGTGTATGTGTGTATGTGTGTATGTGTGTATGTGTGTATGTGTGTATGTGTGTATGTGTGTATGTGTGTATGTGTGTATGTGTGTATGTGTGTATGTGTGTATGTGTGTATGTGTGTATGTGTGTATGTGTGTATGTGTGTATGTGTGTATGTGTGTATGTATGTATGTGTGTATGTGTGTATGTGTGTATGTGTGTATGTGTGTATGTGTGTATGTGTGTATGT